TGCGCAGCAGCTTTTTAATAGATTGACTTTTAAATACATCTTTTCTGGATCTTGATCTAACACCTCAGCCAGAAATTTGCTGTTAATTTACAAGATACGTAGCAATACACTATTGTAGGCCTTGTAGAAGCAGATAAAACTCTTCTCTCTTTCAGCACTGGCTTGCCAGACACACTTCTCTCTCATGTTTTCTGGCAAGCTATTTCTTCTGTTTATCTAGTTCAGCATTGTTGCATGTTAAGACTGTTAGTTCATTCAAATTAGTCTTCAGGTGAATATCTGTTGTTTTTCCTTTTTTTCCTTTTGGCTTAGTTTTTATCTGGATTATGCACAATGTGTATCAGAGGATGCTGCTCATAACAAAATTTAAGACCTATATATTTCTGCTTAGCTTATTCTATAAACTTTGTAAGATTTTGGAGAAGCCTTGGCTTGTTTGCGTAATAGAAGCAATGAGACATTATTTATCACCTGGAATTTGCTACACACATATTTTATTGGAATAGTTTAGTCTAACTAGAATTAAGCTCAGGAAATGGGACATTTTGTTGAGGGTTTCCCCTTTCACACAGTGCTCCAGGCTATCAGCTGTGTGTAGTGTAAGCTCCGAACATTCTGGATATACATCTTGGCCTCAGGCGAGGGAGATTATGCTCACTGCATGGAGACCTCAAACAAGGTCTCCACAGCTCCCCTTTGAGGAGAGGAAAGATTTTATCATTTTAAAATCCAAGTGCCAGTAAAGAGAAGGAGAGATGAGAGACATCTACAGAAAAGGACAAGTTTAGGACCAAGGCTGAAGAGAGCAGTTTCAGAAATTACTGTACTTGACTAAAATCCTCAGAGATCATCTGACTGAGTGATCTGGGAATAACTGAGATAAAGAGCATTACATTGGGAAGGATAAATATAAAGGTCTAGCTGGTAATATTTTATAACAGTAATTTTACTTTGGAATATATGCAATTATTTAAGCTTTATGATGTCTGATATATCTTGTCCTGGATAAGATATATGCAACCTGGTATCTCTTTGCAATGAAGTCGCTTTATATTATTAGGAGATATATCACCTTTATCTTATCTTCCCTTTTGCAGTTTTATGTGGGAGATTTCTTTAACATGCTAACTGGTTTTAATAGCACTTTACTTTTATCTCCTTGCCATAGAATGCTTTTTACCAGCGATAACTTAATGCTGAACAGGGATTTTTGCATCTTCTCCTTTCCTTTTTTAAAAAAATATATAGTAATTTCAATTATCAGTTGTCAGATGGAGCTGTTTTAACACTATAAAGACCAGGAGGTAGCACTGAAGAATTTAATTCATTTTTTAATCACTTTTACTTCCTTTGTATTTGCCAGTAAGGCCACAGACTGTGGAATTCTTATCTGCCTCATATGCTGGGACTGGGGAGAGTATCCTAGGATTCTCCAGGAGGTTAAGTGGAAGCAGCAATATCTCGGGGGGGGGGGGGAGGGAAGGAGGAAGAGGTGGATTGCTCCCAGTTGGATCAAACTGGTAGTGGTATTTGACCTAGATCACAGAACCGGCAGAGACCCAGGCTGGCCACACCCCTGAACCGGTTCCCCGGTCGCCGCTGCCATTGCCGGCATATTGTTTAGTAGTGCGGGCACATGCACAGTTCACTGTAAATTGTTATGTGCATATGCAAAGAACAATTTACATTGAACTGCATATGCACGCATAGCACATGTCTGGCACGTGCATGAAGTGAACCAGTAGTAAAACCGGGAGCAACCCATCTCTGGTGGGTCCATGTCCTTGGTGTTTTCTGTCCTTGGTTGTTTTCTTGCAGACATTTCATTACCCAAACTAGATAACATCATCAGTGACTAGAAAACAACCAAGAGCACCAAGGACTCTCATTTCAATCCTGAGCTGCAAATATTTTCCTTTATTGGCAGCAAAATCTGTCAAGTGGCTTCATCAGAGCAAGATTGTTATTGTTGTTAGTTATGAAGTCATGTCCGACCCATCACGATTCCATGAACAATGTTCCTCCAGGCCTTCCTGTCCTCTACCATCCTCCAGAGTCCATTTAAGCTCACGCCAACTGCTTCAGTGTCTCCATCCAGCCCCCTCATTCTCTGTCGTCCCCTTCTTCTTTTGCCCTCAATCTTTCCCAGCATTTAAGCTCTTCTCCACTGAGAAGAGGTTAGGGTGTGTAAACCCGGGAGATTGTGGGGAGAGAAGCATTGAGATCTCTAGCTTTTCTGCCATATACAGTCCTCGATTTACAACAAGTGAGTCCTGAATTTATGTTGCTAAGTGAAAACTTTTTGAGCTTTGCCTCATTTTATGACTTTTGTGCCACATTTGTTAAATGAATCACTGCAGTTGTTAAATTGCTAACAGGATTGTTAGGCTTTCCCTGTTGACTTTGCTCTTCAGCAGGTCACAAAAGGGGATCACATGATCCCAGGACACTGAAGCCATCATAAATATATGTGAACCAGTTGTCAGGCATCTGAATTTTGATCATGCAACCATGTTGTAAGTCACTTTTTTCAGTGCTGTTGTAACTTTAAACGAGTGGTAGTCAACCTGGTCCCTACTGCCCACTAGTGGGCATTCCAGCTTTCATGGTGGGCGGTAGGAGTTTGTTGTAACTCTGCTTTATAAATTTTATAAAGTAAAGTTACTTCCCTGCTTTATAAATAACCATTACTGTGGAGCCGGTGGGTGGTTAGAAAAATTTATTACTAACAGAGATACAAAAGTGGGCGGTAGGTATAAAAAGGTTGACTACCCCTGCTTTAAACAGTCATTTAAATGAACTTTTATAACTCTAGGATCACCTGTAATAGTTGTCCAGATTTTTTCAAACTGGACTTCATCATTTTAGATGAAGTATACATATGAATTTTATATTCATATGTATATTTCTACATCAGTAGTGGGATTCAAATTTTTTTTACTACCAGTTCTATGGGTGTGGCTTGGTGGGCATGGCATGGCTTGGTCATGTATGGTTTGGTGGGCATGGCAGGAGAAGGATATTGTAAAATCTCCATTCCCTCCCCTACTCCAGGGGAAGGTTACTGCAAAATCCCAATTTCCTCCCGATCAGCTGGGACTCAGGAGGCAGAGGATAGATGGGGGTGGGGCCAGTCAGAGCCGGTATTTACCGGTTCTCTAAACTACTCAAAATTTCCACTACCGATTCTCCAGAACTGGTCAGAACCTGCTGAATACCACCTCTGTTCTACATGTAAGAAACCTTCAGATTTTCAGAGTCCAAATGCACATCTGGCATTTTGCTTAAAAGTTTACTAGATAGCAGATGGATATCTATCCATACATAGCAATTTAATTATACCAAAACTACTGTACTGTAATGCAACCACCACCCCATACTGATTTCATTATAGGGAGAGGCGTGCTTTGCTATGTCATGTGCTCTACATTGAGGGCCTAAACCTGTGCAGGCAGTTTCCCCCCATCTTTGTGCTGAGTTAGTACTCTCCATGTGCTGTGCGGTGTGCTTTTTCTGAATATGTTGCTCTAATTCAAAGTGAGCCAAAGCAGCACTATGATTTTTTGGCAGTCAAAAAAAATATGCCTGGGAGGTGTTAAGGAGAGGATGACATCTCCTTGACAGAGGATCGCATGGAGTATATCTGGATGGTTGCCCAGAATACTTGAGGTGAAATTTTTTCTTTTAAACATTAGGTTAAAACTGTTCCATGTGTTAAAAAGCCACAAACAAACAAAGACAGTGGGTTGGGCTAATTACAATCTTGGATGGCCTTTTTAAAAAAGTATTTTATACTCACTAGCATTCTTTTTTTCTTTTCTTCTGTGTTGCTTCCAGCTTTGAAATATAATATATTTTGGGTACTGGTTTTGATCTCGCTCAGTAAATTAATATTTTGAAACTGATCAAAAAGGTGTCATCAGTATAGCTCTCAGAGTCTTAGTGAACACGTGCAAGAGTTATTAAAACCATCTGGAAACCTTAGGGTGGTTAATCCTTTTCTTTCTCTGAGGTGGGCTAATCCTGGTTAATCCTGCTGAATTGAGCCTCTCATCAAATAATATCTGTGTCTGGATCAAGTTTATTTCTATGTAATTTAATGAAGTAAGGTTAACAAGTGATGGGGCCTCACTACTTTTGCCTAACTTAATAATTGGTCGGAAAGGTAACTTTTCTGCAGTATAGTATGGAAAAGTTTTTTCTGGATCTATTGAAAAGGAGATCGTGAAATGGTTTCTTGCGCTGTGGTAGCGAAGTAGTTAGGGGGCAGTACTACAGGCTACTTCTGCTGACTACTAATTGCCAGCAGTTTGGCAGTCCAAGTCCCATCTGATCAAGGTTGACCAGTAGCCTCCCACTGTCCAGTGCGATACCACAGAGTTGGCCTCCTCAGGGTGCCGTCGGCCAGACAGTGTCGACTAGTGATCCCCGCCTTCTCTGTGGGAGCGCCTTCCCTCTGGTATGAGCTTCCCCCGGAGCTTTGCATAATCCCCGACCTCTGGTCCTTTTGACACGTCCTAAAAAGTTGGCTTTTCCAGCAAGCCGGCCTGGCCTGAACAGAATAAAATAAACGATTAATTTAATTGTTAATTTTAATCTAATTTTTAAAATTTTATTGTTAATATTAATTGGGTTTGTTTTTGGATACTTTATTTAATTTCCTTTTTAACACTTGTAATATGTGTTTTTTTTTTTAATGTTGTATGCCACCCTGAGTCCTTTGGGAGAAGGGCGGCATATAAATCCAATAAACAATATAAACAACAAC